CAACTCACGTCGTTGGTCTCAAAGGAGTCACTTTTTCTACATTTCTCTGTTTGAAGTTTCCCACTATCAAATTTTATATTTTCCTGCCTTGAGGGGAAGTGGTCCCATTGGGATGCCTTTTACTCCCCTCTGCAATTCATATATATATATTTATATATATATATTTCTTTTTTTTTTTTTGTCCCTAATCTGTTTTATAAAATTGCTATCTTCCAAAGCTCTTACTTGTATGTTCCAACCCCCAAAGGCAGGCAGGTACACCTGCCTGTGGCTCAGCCACCACTTAAGCTCCCCAGCGCGGTCGGTGCCTGGCACACGGCAGAGCTCGTTTATTGCTGTTGCTTATTTACGTAAACTGGGTTGACTTGAATTGTGCAAAGTACCACAGGAGACATAGGTGAGACACAGGTCTGTTCTCATACTTGACTGCAGGTAGAGAGACACACAAAACAACGGAAATTAGCAGAATGTTGCACTAATTAGGTGCGAAGTGGGGCCGCCCAAGCCATAGTTGGTAGGAAAGTTCAGTAAGGTTCCTAAATGCAAGGAAGTTCGTAGTAAAGAATTTGGCCAAGTCCAAAAAGAGGTCTGGCCTTTGCGCTTGGCTTCTGGGGAGTAATCTCTGGCATACCTGATGGCAGTGCCTTTGTTTGGGGAGGGGGTGGCACCACATCGGAGCTTCGGGTGGGGCTGTGGGTCACGCAGTGTCAAGCTCACCTGGAGGCTGAGATCAACCACCTAGGCAGCCGGTCAGCAACCAATGAATCCTGTCTAAGTGATGGAGCCCCGATAAGAACTCTGACCACAAAGCTCGCGTGAGCGCCCCCGGTTGGCGGCGATGCTCCGTGTGTACTGTGACACGTCAGTGCTGGGAGAATAGCGCCCAGACTCCACAGGCAGAGGACAACAGACCACCCGCCTTTAGAATGCCCCCGGACTCTGCCCTATGTGTCTCTTCCTTTTCTGATTTTACTCTGTATCCTTTCCCGGTGAAAACCTGTTAACTGTGCACATCATAGCTCTCGGTGAGTTCTGCGAGTCCTTCGAGGGAATTATCACCCCGAGGGTGGCCGGGGGAATCCCTGGACTTGCAGTTATTTTCAGAAATGAGGGCCCCAAACTCCATCCAGAAGGGTCCGTGGAGGAGGCTCTACAGGATGTGTGAGATTTGGCTGGGTAGAAAGAAGAGCAGAGGGGAATCCCAAGTTATCAGAGGCCGGAGGCCACATGAAGGGAGGACTCCAGGGACAGGGAAGCTGTTTGGGGATGGGGTGGCACCACATCGGAGTTTTCCTGACTTTGATGATTTCACCTCTCCGGGATGACGTCACGTTCCAGTCCCATCACAGACACACTTAGAGCAAGATAGCGTGAGACTTTGGGGAGACAATCTCTACATGCTCAGCCCTCATCAGAGCCACAGATCGGCAGCCACTGGGAGACACTAGTCCAAAATCAATCTCAGTTATTCCTCATGATGACAAGTAATCCCTCTGTCTCTTGGGAAATAGGAAAACATTACAAAATAATAAGGGGAAGACAACATTTAACACGTGCCTGCTCTGTGCCAGGCACTATTCCAGTGCAAAATACCCAGTAATGAACAAACACTGCACTAGGAAGAGGCCGTCGGGAAGCAGTGGGAGCGAGGCTGAGCTCTGGGAAAGTAAAGGGAACAGGATGTTATTTACCATCCGAGATGCCTCCTCTTTCCTAAAAACTACCATCCACGGTCAGTGTTTCAACCTCCCTCAGAAGCTTCTTGCAACATAAAGTCCTAGAAGTCAGGGCTCTCAGGAGGTGTGGCCCAGGTTCTCCCAGCTTTCCTGATGACACAGCGCGTGCCCCAGTCACCTGGTGAGCAGGGAGCTGGAACTCATCACAGTGCCTCCTGGTGACACCGGACCACTCTGAGCGTGGGCGGGGCTCCATCCCTGAGCTGCGGGGGTGAAGCTGCCCGTCAACCGCTGCCACGCCTCCCTTCCCTGAGACTGGAATCCCGCTTCCCGGCAGTGGCCTCCACACCCGAGCAGCTAGTGGGCGACGGCATTCCTAGAGGGGTGGACAACGGCGACAGGCAGGTGGCCGGACTGCTGCTGCCCTTCGAAGGCTTAGGGTCAAGACGGGGACGCAGGGACTTCCCCGGCGGCCCGGTGGCCAAGACTCCGCGCTCCCAATGCAGGGGACGCAGGTTCGATCCCTGGTCGGGAAACTAGGTCCCACGTGACGCAACTAAGACCGGGTGCAGCCAAATAAATAAATAAATAAATATTTTTTAACAAACAAACAAACTGGGATGCAGTTGAAAGCAGACGTGCACTGGGCCCCTGCCGGGAGCACTACCAAACACCTTATGCCTTTGCTCAGGACCATGGGACGCCACACTTTCCAGGCTCCCTTGCCAGTCACCTGGCTTCTCAATAGGTTTGACAATAGGTGGCTGTGATGGGAGACTGAAGGCAGAGGAGGGGAAAACCAGGGCCTTTCCTGCTCCCTCCACCTCGGGCAGCACCGCCATCAGCAGCTAAATGTTCTCCGTGACTCCAGCCACTGCCCTTGTAGTTCCCACCATCACCCCGTCTCTAGACTCTGATGTCCCACCCTAGAGGTGACAGTGGCTTCTCCAGTCTCTGATCGTCTCCTTGTTCCCTGCTGGGCCTCTCAGCTCTTCCCATCAATGGGGTAAGCAATTCTCTGTATTAAATTCCCTCTGAAATCCCTGGTGGTTTCTGTTTTCCTAGCTGGCCCTGACTGTTCGATGGCTAACGTAGCACCTGGCCATCGGGGAACTTACGATAGGTTAGAGAATCAAGAATTAAATATATGCAAAATGCTAGTAAAATAAAATGTAGAAATTCTGTACATATGCTAAAAATGACTAAATTGTACATTTTAAATGGGTAGGTTTTATAGTATGTAAATTATGCCTCAATAAAGTTGTTTTAAAATATCCCGGAAAAGATGAAGTAAAATGGAGGGTGAGTAGATGAGACAAGTGACCCCCACACAGCTCTGAGCACAGTCCCCTGACAAAAAGAAACAAAATCTGAGTACGCGCTGCCAATATTTGTGGGCTTCCTTAAATTGTATACGTGTCAAACTCTGTTAACGTATGTTACCTTATAAAATAGCTACAAGATAGACATTTAAACAGAGAGAGAAACGTAACTAGAAATTCTGGCGATGTCTTGCTTAACCTCAGTGGATCACCTCACACATCTCCTGGGATGCCTACACCCCACTGTGAACCCAGAGACCACTGATGCAGGCAGTCAGCACAGAGATCTCTGCAAGGGACTTCCAGAGCAAGTAAAAGCGATGGGGGACCCCTTCCCTCCTGCCTGCCTTTCTGAAGGGGCCTAGACTAGGCTAATGCCTCAATAACAGCCACCACTTTATGACCCTCTTCTGACATTTACACATCGCTTTACAGTTTTAGAATGTAAAGTTTCTCACATAGGTTATCTCACTTACTCGCCCAAATCAAGAGAAGAGGGTCAAATAGGAGACAGACTGGGGAGATCTCAAATGCCTGACCAAGAGGAGTTTGGACTAGATCCCAAGAGCGGTGCTGCCACGTCAGATGTATCAGGTTACGGGGGGTGGGGGTGTCGACACTCCAGGGTGCCCCAAATAGCTGACTTCCTCTTTCAGGGTAGAGGCCCTGAGAGAACCTCAGGGAGCAATACTTATTCCCGTGGGCCTGGCTCTGAGGGAGGTGCCGAGAAGGCGGCAGCGAGCTCCCCACTCGGGGGCTCCCCTTTCAGCACTTCAGGCCCGAGAACTACGCTTAGCCAACAGCCATCCTACCCTTCCACTCACACTGCTTTCCCATCCACGTGACTATTATTGGTAAATCCAGTTTCCAAAAGGACGCCTTGATACCTTTACGTGGGCCTCCCAGCCAGGGGCAAGTGTGCAGCTGTCTCACTCCAGGGTACCTTCCCGTCTCTCTTGCTCTTGAGCTCAGCAGGCCATGTTCTCCATCCCATATTCAGCTCCCTCCCAGGAGACAAGGCAGGACTTTGTCCTGGTCCCTCCCTCTCCCTTTCTCCCTGTTCCATCCCCAAGCTGAGCTGTCTGTCCTGTCGTGGCAGGAGCATTAGGGGACCCGCGTGAACGGCTGGCAGGACAGTGCTCTGAAAAGCCTGAAGCCAGCTCTCCGGGGGGCTCCCCAGGGTGTGGAAGAGGTAGCCAAGGAAGCACAGGAAGTAGCTGCAATATCTAGTGCTGAGGTTCGTGTCCTTTTCCTACTGAAAAACCTTCAGCGACTCTCCTTTGACCAAAGTCCTAAGTGGGTCCCTTAACGGCCCTTGTCCACGGAGACGTGACAGCCACCTGCCAGGTGGGGAGCGGAGAGGCCCGTGTCTTCCCAGTAGCGGGTGGGTGTTGCCGGGACCTGAGCCGGCAGAGATGGCCATCTATTTATACTGAATAATATCTTCAAACTGAAGGCAGACCACGGCCTTGGCCTCAGATCAGCAGGTGGCAGGGGGAGGGAGCAGTAAGGCTTGGAGTCACCTGCAGAGGCCTCTGCCCCTGAGGGTGCCCGGGGGGATGGGGCTGCGGTGTTCCCCAGGGCTGAAACCTCTCTGCTCTACAGTCAGAAAACCTGGGTCAAATCCATCCCTAACGACCTTGCAACAAACAGGCTACTTAACTTCATCCATCAAGCCTCCTTCACACCTGTCTGAGGTTAAATGAAGCAACTCCCGTACTTTTATCAACGCGCCGTTCCTCTGACTCTTACAAAGACACGTGTCCCTCTGCCCTGCGTCCGAGCTCGTGGGTACCACACCTGTCCCCAGCTCATGGACAGAGCCGTGTCTCGCTGATGTCTGCTCCCTTCCCCGGCCAAGAGCCAAAGCCCCCAGAGCGTGTCGTGTTTCATCCGGATGCTGATGCCGCTGCCTCCCCCCTGCCCCCCACACCTACCGGAGCCCCAGGGGAAGCCTGTACCGGGTTAGAAATGGTTTCCAGGTTGTGCTTCTTCCTTCCAGGGATTTCCCAGATGACCCCGGCGTGTGGTGGGACACCGAACGGGTGGCCGACGTCCTCCTCCGGCATGTAGAGGCCAGCCGCATCAACCTGGTAAGGGGATGCCTTCCGCTCGAAGCAGAGGCCCAGCTGTGTCTGCCTGAAACCCACCGAGGAACACACACACCTTTCCTGAGTAACTGAAATCCCAGCGCTCAGACACAGGCAGAGATTTTTCCAAAGTGCGCCCTCTTCACCCACCCACTCCCACCCCTGTGCTGGCACCTGAAACCTCAGGACCCCACGAGCCTGCGCCACGACCCGCTGGCACAGAGCTTTCTACCAAGCATTTTAGTTTTAAGGTATCCTTGTAACTTTGGAGGTAGGTGTTGTTATAATGCTCACCTTACACTGAGGAAGTTGAGGCCCCCAGAGGCCCAGCAGCTGCCCAGGGTCGCCAAGTATGAAGCTAGGATTTTAAGCCTGGAGTCCTCACTCCAGAAATTGCGAGGATAAATTCACAGCCCCTGCAGGGAGAACACTCTGGTCACGATTGGAGCTCTAGTGGGCATTCAATCCACCTGCAGAGGCGGACGGCCCAGCTACACCCACCTCGACTCTCGGGCCCCGCCGGCCCGGGCCCCGCCAGCGGTCGATCTTAAGGCTCCAAGAAGGTGTCCACCTCTAAAATAACGCTAACCCTTCAGGAGTTAATACCTAAAACCTACCATTCAAAGATCCAACCACTTGCTTTAAGTTTTGATTAAGCCTCGTTAAAAGATGATCCCTGCTGTTAAGCTTTTATCGGTGATGAATTCTCCAGGTGAACGGATTTGTTAGACCTTTGTTAAGAGCAGATTTTCGTGGATATATTAGACCGTCTTTGAGCTCTAATGACAGAAATGCAGCGGGAACTTCGTCCACATGGGCCAAAGGGCCACCTAACTGGCTGGCTCTGACCCACACAAGGCGGAGGTGCAGGGCTCTGCGCTGGCTTCCCTCTTTGTTCTGGCTGGAAATACGGTCACCCAGAGCCGCAGCCCCACCCCTCCCGGCTGTACTTCCCACAGGGTCTGAGGGTCACAGCTGGAGGGTTCACGGCCCGGGCCTGCTGCCTGGCCTGGGTCCTCTTGCCTGCCACCCCCCAGGCCATGCTCAGAATCTCTCAGGGCCCCAAGCCTGGCAGGGGGGCAGAGCTGGTCCTCCGGGCTGGCCTGGGGTACAGGGCAGGGCCTGTGAGGTGGGCCACAGTGGCCCTCGGCACCCCGGCTTCCCCAGGGCCAGTCCCCAAACTCTCCCTTCCCCCGCTTCGGTGCATGGGAACGGCTGGTTTCCCAGTAACTCCTGTTTGTAGGATAAACTCCCATCTTCGTGAACTTGGCCGCCTCCGACCTGGACCTTCCTTCGGGGCTCTTCACTGATGAACAGGGTTGGTCCTTGCTGAGGGGCCGGGTTGTTGTTTAGACCATGTTGCAGCCATGGCCCTGAACATCCAGGGAGGAGCTTCAGGGCACACACGCTCTGCGTGCCTTTCCTGCTCTCAGAAGAGCCTCCCAAGTTTGTGTCCCAGAAAAGTGATTTGTGGTCCAGGCCCGGCTTAAGACCGCCTTCTCCAAGAAGCTTTCCCGGACTTCTTCAGCCCTCTTTGGGACAGCATTTGTCGTGTGTCCTGCACCTGTGACATGAGTTGCTGTTTATCCTCTAAAGTACAGACCATGTCTTGTGAGCCACTATCTTCAAGAAGCGAGAGCAACCCCACTGTTCCCTCTTGTTTACTGGGGTCTGGGTAAGACTTCATTTGCCCAGAGATTTCTGCAGTTTAGCGGGGAAGGTGGATGGAGTTCTGCAAAGAACCGCAGACGCCATTGCTGTCAGGTCCTAACCTGCACGAGTCCAGGGCTAGAGGCAGATCAGCTCAGCCCTCCTCGAAGCAGGAAGAGAGGGGGCTTATCAGAAGGTATAGGATGAAGAAGAAACAAGGCCCTGAGGAATTTCAGAAGTGATGGAGCCAACATGCAGTGGCCCCAAGTTCCCAGACCAGGGAGTGCGCCCCAGCTCACCAGTGACAGCCCGGCCCCGGCATCACCTCCACCCGAGGGCAGCGGACACTCGGCCTTGACTGCTGTCCAGGTCCTACACTCCCACGTGGCTTCACTTGACCTTCACCTCGACCCAGAGAGGAAAGGCGGGCAGGCCTCACTCTTCCCATCTCACAGATGAGGAGACCAAGACACTGAAAGTTGACATCACTCCCAGGGTGACATGCTGCGACATGCCTGAGGGGCGGGGGCAGCTAGCGTCAGAGGTGGGAGTGGACACAGGGCCCACACTGGGCTGCGGGGAAGGGTGGGCTCAGAACAGGGTACCTGAGTTCTGGGGTGACCTTCTTTTAATACAGTATATTTTTTAGAGCAGTTTTAGGTTCACAGCAGAATTGAGCAGAAAGGACATACATACCCCCCGAGCCCACAATGTGTTACAGTCAGTGAACCAGCGCTGACACAGCATCATCACCCCAAGTCCTGGTTCACATTAGGGTTCAGTTCTGGTGCTGCATGTCCTGTGGGTTTTGACAAATGTATGACACGTATCCACCATAATGCAATTAGCTTATATGCCTTTTTAAAAAAATTTTCGGGACTTCCCTGGTGGCGCAGTGGTTAAGAATCCACCTGTCAATGCAGGGGACACGGGCTCGAGCCCTGGTCCGGGAAGATCCCACATGCCGCGGAGCAACTAGGCCCGTGCACTACAACTACTGAGCCTGCGCTCTAGAGCCCGTGAGCCACAACTACTGAAGCCTGCGCGCCTAGAGCCCATGCTCTGCAATAAGAGAAGCCGCCTCAGTGAGAAGCCCGCGCACCGCAACGAAGAGTAGCCCCCACTCACCTCAACTAGAGAAAGCCCACGCGCAACAACGAAGACCCAACACAGCCAAAAATAAATAAAATAAATAAATTTATTTTAAAAAAGAAAAAGAGGGCTTCCCTGGTGGCGCAGTGGTTGAGAGTCCGCCTGCCGATGCAGGGGACTCGGGTTCGTGCCCTGGTCCGGGAAGATCCCACATGCCGCAGAGCGGCTGGGCCCGTGAGCCATGGCCGCTGAGCCTGCGCGTCCGGAGCCTGTGCTCTGTGGCGGGAGAGGCCACAACGGTGAGAGGCCCGCGTACCGCAAAAAAAAAAAAAAAAAGAGCGAACAGTCAAACCCACAGCCACGGTCTCCACACAGTCGGCCAAGCAATGGTCACACCCCCGACCCGCTCCCACGTCAGTTCAGATACACTCAGAACGTGAACAGGCACAAGGTTCTGGGGCCTCCTGTCCTTCCCGGGCCGCGGGGACGAGGCGGGAGGGACAGGTTCGGCACTGAGTGAAAGCCTGTGTGTCTCTGCAGGTGGTGACCTTTGACGCGGGAGGTGTGAGCGGCCACAGCAACCACGTGGCTCTATATGCGGCTGCCAGGTAGGGCGCTCTGAGTCTCCGGGCGGCTGGTTTCCCCGTCACTGTCCCCCCTCGGGCCATCAGAGAGCCATGCTCTCTCACCACCTGCTCCCGGGGGCAGTCGCCCTCGGGTCCTGGTATTATGGTCTCGTCTCCTGAACAGCTGAGTTTCCCCACCCCCGGATACGGCAAGTGGGGGAACGGATTTGATTTATCCCTCTGCTTTGGCCACAGAAAGCTTTAGGGCCAAATTTCAGTTCCTTGTAGCGCACGCACAGGACTAAGGATTGAGTTCTGGGGATCGGCGGCCCTCCTGGCTGCACCCTCTTTTCCCTCCTCTAACTCCAGCTTGTTTGCTCTCTCCTGCTGTGTATTCTGTGCACAATTTCAGACTTTCTTTGGAGAAGGAGGATGTGCACGTCATAGGAAACCTTACTTGTTCTTTGCAGCCTCTCCATGTGACTGACACGCACCTGCATTTCACCAGTAAAAAACCAGATCCTCACACATCTTGAGGGATTTCCTCGGGGTCATGGAGACCTAGAGCGTGTGTCCTGACCTCTGAAGCCGTGCTCCCCCTGGGCCCGTAAGCAGCTTGCTGGACGGGCCTGGGGTTAGGAGGGGGCAGCCTGACGTGAAGGACGATTTTATGACCCTCTTCTGAATGCGTCCAACGCTTTTCAGGGCTTGAAGTGCCGTTTCCAGGCGCGTCTCCAGGGCCCCTCCCTCCTCCACTTAGATGCTGCCTCCCAGCTCTTTCCCTGGAGATCATCCCCAGGGCTGTACCCAGAGCGCAGGACAAGTGGCCTCTGACCTCAGGGTTTTCTATTCCTCAGGCTCTGCGAGTGTGTGTGTGTGTGTGTGTGTCAGGCCTGTAAGTTCATCCATTCCCTCAGGCTCTGCGTGTGTGTGCGTGTGTGTGTGTGTGTGTCAGGCCTGTAAGTTCATCCGTTCCCTCAGGCTCTGCGTGTGTGTGCGTGTGTGTGTGTGTGTGTGTGTGTCAGGCCTGTAAGTTCATCCGTTCCCTCAGGCTCTGCG